GCATTTCATGTATTAGTAACTGTGTTACTTTTATTTACACTGAGGATCTGTTACTCATAGGAAATTCAGATATAGTAAAAATTTAACGCTTATAAAAGATGTCGACGATTAAAGAAAATTCTTACTACATTGCATTTTTTAAATAAAAAATCTGCGCTCTTTTAATTCTAACATTCTCGAATACTTTCAAAATTATAAAAATACGGATATGTAACTAATTAAAATGCAGATGATTTACATGAATGAATCGAAATAGACAGTGTATGTTATTCGTCGACACGGTAGATGAACTCGGGAATATAATAAGCTTTTGCTGGATTGAGGCAAACGTATTGGAGGTATAGAACGGTCTGTAAGATGTCCGGGAGAAGCGCGGAAAATAACGTTTTGCACCGCAAATTCCCAGAACGGCGTTCATAGTACGGACATAGAGCAACGCTCGCAGACACTGCTAATGAAGTTACTAACCCCTGTGCTAATATTAAAGAACCGCTTCCGCCGTTTGAAAACGGTTCTCCGTTGAATGTCAACGTACAATTAAACCATTCACTGCATTTGAATAACTGTACAATTAATTTTCCTAAAAAATTACATACCTGAGAATCGACATTTGAATATCAACGCAGAATCGTATTAAACTTGCATTCAAATTCCATTTGGGTAACAAGTTAACCAAATACAGCGTAAGAGATTTACAACAAAAACGCGTTTGGAACAGTTAGATTTCACAATGAAGTATTGTTTGGGGTTTGAATTTTATTTCCATGTAAAATTTTATAGCCGAAAGAAAGTGCCATTAAGCTACGGGAAAGTGAATATATTTTGACTTAATTATCGACATGTATCGGTGCCGATACGGGATCACTTTTTGCATTTACCTCAGTTTATTGCCACCGCTATCAAACTCCCGGCATTAACTCTATCACGGCTGCTCTGAAAAATCGTTTACAAGCCAGGCAGCCGGGGTATCTCCGGCGAGCATCGATCGTTAACTTTCTCGCGGACAAGCATCTTGTTGTTCGTGGAGATTCGGTGCAGCGTGTCAGCGGCGGCAGTTCTTACTTAGCGCACGACCTATTTAGTAGAACATATCGCTTATCGCCAGCGAGCGTACCGGTATCGCTCCTCTCGATTTTTCGTGGTGGCTCGCGTGCGCGCGAAAGTCACCGCGATAATATCGTTTGTATCGGGCGAATTGATGAAAAAATCGAGTTGGTAATCTCGCGTAAAGGCGTGCGTGCTGTCGTGACGAACGGCAGTCACGACTGCCGTTTTCCTTTTGCCTATTACGCAACGATTTGCGTTTATCTGATATAAATTTCATTATTCCCTTCGGATTGCAAATTCCGAATGATTGTTTCTGATTACGTGGCTTGATATGTAATTACATACTATGCACTCTGAAATTACTCAGTTCTGATTGCATTCTTGGGATCAAGTTAGAATAAAAATAACAGACTAAAAGAAACCGGATAGAATAAAATATTCATATTGTATACAAATTATTAATATGAAAAGAATGCAGAGGTCGATGCATTGAGAAGAAAAAATAATTTGATAGACTTGATATTAGAACAGGAAACGAGATACATGAATAAATTAAAGACAAGAAAGAATTGACACTTAGACATAACGTAACAACATAAATCTTAAGTGAAATAATAATTAATTAATCAGAGATAGCTTATCCTACTGAACTTTTGTGAAAGATACGAATACGAAGTGACACTGCGTTCGATATACGTGTCATAAATCCAGCCTAGAGAAATGTTGTGTAAACCGAACGAGTAGTCTAAATCCTGTTTGTCATCGGTCAGGTATATCGATCACTTTTGCTCGGAGAACGACACAAATGATCGCAATTAGCGATAGCACGAGTCTAGTTTAGTCGCTGTACCCAGCTTGACAAGAGCACGAGATCATTAATTCATATTCATGTACCTTCACGAATTCGAATTACCTTGTTTCATATTTTTCATATATTTGTATGAACGAATAGATATTGTTCGACAAATTATATTTTTAAATTCTCGTTTTCAGTATGCATTCAATATTTAAAATGAAAACGGAATTGCAGTTTTATCAGTGACTCGATAAATAAGAGAGATGATTGTTTCTTGTTTTATGGTTGAAAATACGGTACCCTGAAGCAATCATACGTATCTCTAATCTATCATACAATGCCGTTGCAAAATATCCTTGACACGTCATCGAGTGCACTGCGAATGGCTTCTCGCACGGTATACTCGTTTTCAGTACTGTAGCCTGTGAAGCAGAGATTTATTTAACTGCAACATTTGTACAGCGTTATATAAATTGATACACATAATTCCATCGTTCTTTTGTCTGTAGCACCTTGTGTTCTTAAAAAATTATTAGAAATGTACATCCTACTATCTCTGCAAAGAGTAGTTTTGGATAAAAATCTGCAATTTACCAATCGTATGTTTGATACCCAGAAGGTGTACTTTCTCAATGTTGTAAATCAAACTTGGTCAGTGGATCGAAGCCTACAATCGAATGCAAATATTCTTTTCCTGTTTAAAAGACAAAAAGGATGCGTAGCTTTCGTTGGAATTTCCACCCACGGTCTTTCCTTCTTTTTGATAAATCGCCAATTACTCGTTTATCTCGCTGTGAATCTTCAGTATCTGATAAAAGCAGGCTCCTTCATTGTTCTCGTACGAAACTGGAAGTTGGCCGGGAAACGGGAGGGTCGAAAGTCGCGGCGCGGTCAGGTAAAGTGGAACGATCGCGCGTAATCGTACGCAATCTATCGGAGAAAGTGGGCTAATGCGAGCTGCGATAGAGCCGGGACGCACAATGTCTTTGTTCCTGCTGATTTCATTTATTTATGCATTTTTTCAATCTGTGTTCTCGGATCGAGAGCAGATCAATTATAAGCGGAGCCGTGTTCACAAAAACCATGAAATATTGAAATTAAATTACAGTAATAACTGGCACACCTTTATAACATTGTTCGCGGCTTTCTCCGTTCCCTGCCGACGTAATGCGTCGAACTGAGAAGCGAGTCGCTAATTGTCGCGGTGCGGCGAATTAATTAAAGCGGAGGCGACGGGTGTCAATTACTCGGATCCTATTTCAATTTCTCTTCTTTCATTCATTCATAAACGCTATCAATTTTACGTTAACGATTTCCCTCACTGCTTATTTTCCTTTTCAAATTATTCCGCGAAAATCATTTACATACTTCGAAATTATTCGTGATTTATTATTAGATACGACTATGTGATTGACGATATTTTTTCAATTCAGATAGCCTCTAGTGGCTTAATAATTGGAATATTTGTCACGGTTTTTGATAGACTAAAAGCGAGTGTCCTGGGATGTATGAACGTGCATATGCTGTAGCTTGTAGTTTCTCATTACACGTAATCGAATACATTCAGCTTATTATACCGAACGAGCTCCGCGGATTTTCACAGGGTACGCGTAATGATCCCGAGCTTAACCCGGTTCGCGGAAGCAATAAAGGCTTTTAGCGTTTCTTTTGTACGCGTGTGCTTAACCTCTGCACCGTAACGTACATCGTGTCCGAACCTGTGATTTATTTACCGCAGAGGAAAGAGATAACGATCTAATCTGCCCCCGCTCAAAAAGGAGAACCACGAACGTCGTGTAAATCATCGAACGTTCTTACCTACGGATCTGATCAAGCAAAACCGACTGAATTTGTAAATCACCTAACATTCCTAACTATGGGCCTGATCAAGCAAAACCGACTGGCTGATTGCGAATGAGAAGTTATGTTGTTCGCGTTGCGACGATATCCTTGGATCACATACTTTTCCGCGATCCACAGGCGAAAATGAGTTTCTAATCGGCGAGCCCGATCGACGCGTGATCTCGTGAAACCCGCGGCTCATTATGTTTTCTTTAATAATAATCAGGCGCGATGATGTGTGAAGTAGTTAACAGAAAATGAAGTTGATTATCAGTAATAACTGTGATATGAAAAATATATGTGCTGCTCATTATTAAAGTCGAAAACTTGTATTAATTCTTTTTACTATATTTTATAACAACTTGTAATACAGTTCGTTGGCTTTTCATCAGTTTCATGATAAAAAGCAAATTGGTTCGCGGATGAAGTTATCAATAGGCTTCTTATGCGTATTTCCTATCAGATTTCACGGATCGTGCGAGATCCCACGATTACGGATCCGTTTTCGGCGGGTAGACAACTCTCAGACAACTGGTGGTGCCACGACCCCGAGGTCCTGTTGTATTTCACGATGCGGAATCATGCGATTTCGGGTTCGTGACCTCATGCGATCCAAATGAGATCTCGCAATTCTGAGGTTCTTCCAGCCTTCAAATGTATTCACTGGTAGACTGCAGATTCTTATACGAAATAAAACACGTTTTATTTCAATATTTTTATTAACCAATAAAGTCAGCAATCTTGATCGTCAATAGTGTGAGAGTAGTTTATGTACCAAGGATCTGATGCAGTTTTTTAATAACGCTATCACCTGCAAGAGACATGAGTTAATCGGTCGGTATTTGCCAATCTCGATAACGGTACTTGTTTGAAAATACAATTTAAAGCCTATAAATCCATCCTGGGCGAGCTTCCGCGTACTTTCGAATGTCTCCGCGCTTAATAACCGCATGTGCTCGCTTGTTCATTATACACGCTTTCGAATCGCGAGAGTGATACTAATTTGGCTACTTAAGGTTCTTGTCTGATTTATGTTGCCACACCTCATCCCAGAAATGACAGTATTCGAGTTACTGCTGTATTACATTCATTAAAATGATAACAATTTATGGTTATTCATTATATCGTAGTACTGAATCGTAATTAATGCAGCATCAGTGGACTTAATTTTATTTTTAACTTTAGAGTAGACATTTATGATTAGTCTTAAGATCATTGAACGAACGAATACCAAATTGTATATGAGCTGTTATAAAATTAGTTTGGTGTCAAAAATCAAAGCAGGTAATAAATACCGGATCCTTTATGATTGCAGGTACTCCAACGAGACATAGAGGCGCACGGTCGAATTGTCAGCTCGGTCGTCAAACTAGGAGACAAGGTTTTCGATCAGCAGCAAGAACAGCAACAAGAACAACAGGAACGGGAGAGGCAAGAACAGCGGGAACCGACACAGGCTTTGCGAATCGCGAAATCTCTGGAACGCCGATGGCATTTGCTGTTTCTAAGGGCTTTGGAGTGGCAGTGTCACATCGAGACGCTCGTATCTCGCATCAGCAGCAAGGTGAGTACTCGCAATTAACATAATACTCTTCTATGGATACATTGCCGAATTATGCATCAAATGATGAACGAGAAGCGATAATCGAACGATATATTTTACGAACGAAAATATTTTATGGAAGTGACGGTATTTCGAACGTCGAACGATATTAGCCGTGTGTATGAGTGTGGCTAAATTTTACGATTTTATTTTACGAGATCGATTTTTGTCTCTCTATCTCCGATGTTACGCCTTTCATCGCGCAAAAACCGCGGAACGAGTATCAATTTGAAACGTTAAACAATCGAGCGGTGAAAAACTCTCCACGACACCAGACGGTGTTCCCTGTTTGGCCATTAACTCAAGAAGATCGCGTAACGAATGCGTTTCTTCTCGTGCTCGTTCATCCACTCCCGTGAAAGTCTGTGTCCAAACACAGACGTTCGACAGAAAAATTTATTCATTTCACGCTCCGGCACGCGGGCTTATTTTATTTTATTTTTTATTCAAAGACCTTGAACTTGTACAAAATAATTCCCCGATAGACGGGTTCTATGATCCTTTTTCTTAGATCATTTCGGATCACTTTTGTATGTTAACGAGATGATTGCCTTTCGCGCGAGTCCCGTAATTTTAGTGCAACGAGGAAGTGCACGCGCTCTGATCGTGTAGGAGGCTCGTGTGAGTGAATATGATAATGCCTCGTCGAGCAAGTTTAGTTGTGGGTGTTTGCCATACGAGATTCGAGTTGAATCCTGGCTTGTTCGGTATTATTAAGAGTAAGTAGAACATTATTATCTAGCAGGGTTTGTTATGGTACAAAAAACTTTCGAAAGCATTAGGTATAAATACGTAGCACTAAATGAATCAACAAATGAGTAAGAAAGCTATATACTTAATAATGAAACGATATTATAGTTTGGTCGAACGGAAATCGCTTGTCATAAAATAAAATTATATTGAAGGTGCTGAAGGGTTGCTTATACTTCTATCACCCGGAAGGAACAAAACGTTTATTATTTCTGGTCGAAACTAGGGAACTACCGTTAGGTCCATTGTTCTCAAACCCCATGAACCTAGCAATAACGTTTCTAAGACCTGCGAAACAAGTACGAGGAGATTAAAACCGAGAGCACAATGGACTCGGTCTTAACGAAAATTCTGTAATTGGAAAATATATTTTGGAACGAGGAGGGACGGACAAAGCCTCTTGGGTATCGATACCTACGCGAGTCGTTTAGCAGGTAAAGCCGCACGGAAACGTTATGTTCCTGTTTTTATGGTCGTCCACGGGACTTAAATCCCTCGTGCTGGTCGCACTAAATTCACAGTTAGATAAAAACTGTCAGCCTGGAGAAATCGTTAATTATTGGTACACTCGATTGCATCCTGTTCGCGATACGTGCAATAAATCCGCGAGTATGTTCTCGATATTTTTTGCTATTTTTTTTTCTTATTTTTTTTCAAGTCTTCCGTGTCGAACGGAGCAACGGCTGTTCGATCCTGACTGCACGGTAAAACGATCTCGCGTATAAAGTTCGATTAACGTGTACAATGGTTTCACTTACAGTGTGCTAAACGCAACGCGTTTCCCGCCTAAAAACTTTCACACACTTTGTTCTCAATTTGAGAATTTGAAATTCTTCTCACCTCGTTCGTAATAGTATTCGATTTGATAAACTTTTGACGAGTGGTAAGAGATCTAAAAGCGATGTTTCTTGGTTTCTTGACAACTGACTTGATCATTTTATATAAGTTTGTGTTTACAATTTTCTACACTTTCGACGCACGCAAAATTTCGCTTTCCCTCGGTATCTCGATGAAAATCGCTATTAGCCTGTAGCCCGGAGGATTTTAGTGAAAGACACGTGAAGAACGCGTTTGTAACTGACTGAGATCGTGAAGACATTGAAGACCGAGAGAAAACGTTATGCATACAGTGAGGAATAGGGATGGTTAAGATATTTTTTTGAAAGCTACGATTGTAACAGTAATTTTTACTGTGCCTTCAAGTGAAAACAAGTAATTTTTACTGTGCCTTCAACAGAAACAAGAGAGAGTGAAAAATTAATATAAGCGTTACAAAATCAAAGTTACCGATCTCATATGTTAAATGCAATTATTGGTGTTGTATCACTTCGTTCTTTCTAATGCTTCTGTGTTAATCAAGCAAATTTTAATTGTTAGTTAATTGCTGAATCAAACCAGTTTAATATTATTTAATTATCATAATGATTATAGATTTTATATATTTATTGAAAAATTGATATAAGGAGCGCAAGTAATTTATTAAAATACATGAAAAATGAAATGCACGTCGTAACATTTAAACAATAAAAAGAATTTGTATTGCAATTCGTAAAATGATATTACAAATGTTGCAGTTTGCATAAAAATGAGTTGCGATTATATCCGACATTAATTAGTTCTCAAGCTCTTTACACAGTTTCCGTAGAAAGGCTGTTTTCTTTGTGTTTCACGGGGTCGCTGTGGCTAAAGGCGATCCCGTAGGTAGAAAATTACCTCATTTTCCGCGATGTTTAACTACTCCGTACGATGATGCACGCGGGCCGCGAGCATGAAAGCGGAATATTTATCAGCAGGTTTCACTGAGGAGATCCCTCGGTGATATATCACTGGTTGTCGATTGCCATCAACCGCATAGGATTTTTTTAAAACTATACGGAAATTCATTATTAAACCCGGAAACCTGTCGGAAGTAACGTGCCTTTAATTGGGAACG